GGTGGCTTATCCTCTCTGGGGGCCTGCGGCGGGGGGCGGGGGGGTGCCATCTTACGAATGAGCTTGTGGAAGAAGGAGCGATTTAATGAGACGAAGCACTCCGACCGGCCAGGAGGTGCTCAGAGCGAGCCCTCCAAGATGGTGAGGTGACGGTCACTGGTTTACTCCGCCCTGCGGTGGGCACAGCGTCTGTGCTGCGTCTGCCCCAGGACGGTGCTGGTTCCTGGGCCGCGTCTCGTGCGCTGGCCGGGCCGGTCCCTGTCCCTCCCTGGCGCCCAGCAGGTGCACCATGGGCACGACGAGCTGACCCTATGGTGAGAGGAGAGGGGGCAGCCGTGGGGTCGCTGCACTCGGGATGATCAGAGGTCCCTTACAGATGCTACATAACCTTGACCCAGTCCCTTCACCTGATCATGGGCGGAGCCCCTGCCGGCCCCGCCGGGACGGGAAAGACCGAGACCACCAAGGATCTGGGCAGGGCCCTGGGCACCATGGTGTATGTCTTCAACTGCTCTGAGCAAATGGATTATAAGGTGAGCTCCCAGGCCCAGAGGGGGCGGCCAGAGGCCCCCGTGGGGACCACGTACAGCACCCTCCACGCTCCAAGCGTGTTCTAGGCATCTGGACACTGCAGGCCGAACCAGGGGAGGAGAGGCCCCAGGTTCCCGGTCTGCAGAGTCTCTGTACCCAGCAGGCTCAGCAGTTGTGTCCCTGCTGGCCGTCTTGGCCCTCCCGGGAAGCTGGCGCCTCCTGGATGTGACTAACATGTCTGGAAGAGGCTCCTAGGGTCAGCATGCCCAGCCCCGAATGTCCTGACCTGCCCTAGGAGGGGACCTCCTCCCAGCCTCGGCTCTGAGCTTTCCCCCTGGTGGCTGGGGGCACCTGTGTCGTGGTTCATCCAGCCTGGGGCTTCCGGGTAAAAGCAAGTCCAGGCAGGCTTAGGAGGGGAGCTAGAGGCCAGGCCGGGCCCCGCCAGGCCCTGGAGACTGTGCAGAATGGTGTCAGTTTTCTGAGGGCCCCGGGAGAGTGCATACCCTCTTGGAGGCCCCGTAGAGCAGCTTCCGACAGGAGGGCTGGGGGTGGGCCTGAGGCCAGGAGCCTGGGCCTGCGGGGGCCTCCAGTCCCTTCCCCACCCGCATGCGAGCCCCGGGGCCCGACCCTCCTGAGGTGGCACCAGCAACCTCACCAGCAAGGCCACGGTCCACGCCAGCCTCTGTAGTCCGGAGAAATCAAACCTGAACCCGGACGCCCCAGAAGGAGCGTAACACTCCCTGGAGCCCTCGCAGAATCCCTGAAGACTGCCGATCACCCAGCTGAGGACTGAGGTGCCAGAAGCATCTGGAAGAAACTGACACTCACGCCCCACCAGCCCCTCAGAGAGAAGCCCCCTCCCTTGTGTGCAAGAAGGACATTGCACGAATGCGCTTGTCTGAACTGTGCAGCTGGGGCAGGGGGTGGCAGGGCAGCCCCCGCCCCAGGGAGATCACCGGGGCAGGATGGGCTCTCCCCAGCGGCCAGCTCCACGCGGTATTAGCCCCGCCTGAGGCAGGGGCGCCGGCCCTCCGCCTGCCTTCCTCTCCCCAGGGCTCCCTTCTCCCCTCTCACCCTCTCTAGTCCTGCGGCAACATCTACAAGGGCCTGGCCCAGACGGGAGCCTGGGGCTGTTTCGACGAGTTCAACCGAATCTCGGTGGAAGTCTTGTCGGTGATCGCCGTGCAGGTAGGGCCCCGCGGGGCTTAGTGCGCCGTGCAGCGAGGGGTGCTGTGGCACAGAGACGGGTGGTCTCCCCCAGGGCTGTCCCTCGGGGGCCCGGGGTCCGGGCAGGCACACGGAAGCGAAACCAGTGAGCATCGGAGAGAGCGGCGTGTACGTAACCGACTGCAGGTGAGGGGCTGCCGGAGTTTGCTTGGAGGCCGGGGACAGAGTTCTTTGTAACAGGTGTCAGTGCAGGATGCGTTAGAGAGCGGTGCTTGGAGGGGAGGGGGGAATCTGCCCGTGAACTTCGGGAATGCACCACGGGGGGGCGCTGGGGACGAGGTGGGGACAGGATGCTCAGGTGGCGACAGCCCTGTGTGCCCACTCCACACTCCTCCAGTGATCCCACACACGCAGGAGGTGAGAACCACGGGGCTCTCTCCGGGGAACTGAGGCCAAGCTGGGGGTCCAGAAGCAACTTTGCATATTCCAAAAGGCCCCGGAGGTCAGGCTGTTGCTGGTGCACAGGACCCCCACCCCCACCCCCAACCCCACCCCCACACAACAGACAGAGAAACAGACACAGGTCCCCGGAGCCAGGCCTTCCGGCCAGCACACAAGGCTGCGAGGCAGAGCGGGGGGCGCAGAGGGGACCCCGGCCCCCCTCCGCTCGAGACTCACAACCTGGGCGTGGGGCCCGGTTGAAACTCACTGATTGGACTCCCCAGCTCTGCGCTTGGCAGGGATCGGAACCCTCTGTGTTCAGTGATCGGAACCACCTCCTAACCCACAAGATGGTTTTGAAGGCACAGGCTGGCCCGCAGGATGGGAGGTGAACGTGGGTAGCTGACATCCTCCACTGTTACCCTCCTGACACAGAGCTGTCCCCGAGCCCTGAGCCAGGGGCCAGGAAGGCAAAGAGGGGACGAAGGGCGATGCCTTGGGGTGCCCCCGGCCCCAGTCCACCAGTGCAGCAGCAGTTACTGCCCCACCCCCTAAGTCGGTCACTGCACCCCAGAATGTTTTCTGACTCGAATGGACCAGCAGGGACCGGCCCGGGGTGGTAGCTAGAGGCTTCGCGTGGGGTGTGGGGGAGCCCTTCTGGAAGGGAGCCCTGCGCTGCGGGCCAGCCGGGGAGGAAAGGCCAGGACCGAGGGCGGGAACTTTGCTGGGAAGGCGGAGACTCTGAATTCAAGTCCAGGTGGTTGGAAGGTTTTAACCGCGATCGTGGGGCGCCCTCCAGTGGTGGCGCGCGGCCTCGCAGCTGCTCTGCCGGGGCGGAACGTCAAACCCGGCCAAGGACCCCTGAAGTTTAGAGTTCCCCCAGGGCCGGCTTTCTTAAAGACTGTCTGACACAGAGGTGGCTCTGATCAGTGCTCCCACGCGGCACTTCCAGGGCAGGAACGGGACACACGGAGCCGCTAGGAGGTGAACACCACTCAGCGATAGTGCAGAACAAACTCTGAGGCAGCTTCGCCCTTGGGGGACGGGGGCGGGGGGGGCGTCCCCGGCGTTCTGCTGGGTGACATCACGTTACACGCCGCACGACACCCTGGCGTTCTGCTGGGCGACGTCATATTACAAGCTGCACGATCCCACACAGCATTCGTGAAATGGCAGGGTTACAGCAGTGGGAAGCCAGGGGCCAAGGAGAAGGTGGGGGCCGGGGGAAGTGGGGCTATGGCTATAGAAGGGCACGTGAGGGGTCCTCGTGGTGACGGCAATGTCCCTTGTCTCGACTGTCTGTCGGTGTTGTCCTGCTTGTGATGCTGCACTGCTGCTGTGCCAGATGTTACCACTAGGGGGCGCCGGGTAGGACACGCGGGGGCACCCGGGCATGTGCTCCGCATTGTTTCTGAAAACTGCACGTGAGTCTAGTGTCTCAAAATGAAGTTTCATTACAAGGAGAGAAAACAGGGCCTGGGTGGCTCAGTCGGTTAGGCATCTGACTCTTGATTTCAGCTCAGGTCGTGATCTCAGGGTCACGAGATTGAGGTCTGAGCTGGGCTCTGCTCTGGGCATGGAGCCTACTTAAGACT